AAGTGACGTCATGCAGGATCGCATAGTGCAACTTTAAATACAACACAAGAAAATGCTGAAAGTCTGCGAAATGTGCAAAATGGCATCACAGTTTGACATTCGATTCAACCTGGCCAACTTTGATGGCACGCCACGGACACGCCCTTCAATGTACAGTCACAAAATAAATGAAAATAATTTTCATTCAGCCATGGTGTATTCTTACAAATACCATTAGGAGCCAGATCTGTCCCATTTACTACTGTCAGCATATAGTGAACGTTTCAGAAAATACAACAAAAAGTTATTTACCTACTGCAGCTTTAATTCTACTATTTACAGAATGAATATACAGGAGAAATATTTTAGTGTGCACTTTTTACTTAAATACACCACCTTCTGTGAACAATCCACTTGTAAATGGTCTATTCATTCCAGCTCAAAAAAGAAGAGAAGAGAAAAGAAAAATTATTTCTCCCAGTAAAATCCATGGTCTCAAAAATATAGCATGTGCATCCATGCTGTAATAATGTAATAGGTGGTGGTATTTCCCCAGTAATACAACTGTATCTCCAGTCCAGTCAGTGAAACGGAGGGTAACTTATTTTAAAACTTACCCACATGCATATTAGATCCCCGGCTCCTCCAACTGCATGTTGAAGTGTGCTTTAGCAATATACTGTGCCCCAAATTGCTCCCAATGCTGTGCATTGGTGTGTAAATGTGTCTAATGTCTAATAAGCAAGGTTGTTCCTGTTTGTCTCTGTCTCCCTCCTCCTGTCTTCAATGTGACTCAGGGGTTACACAGGGAAGAAGCTGCAGGACAACGTGCAGTGTGAGATCTTCCAGACCATCTATGAGGAGGCCATGGAGGCCTACAAGGAGGAGATTGTTCACCAGCTGCCCAGCAACTCTCCTGAGGACCTTGAGTGCAACCTGGAGCAGATTGTGCAGTGGACTGAGCAGTGGATGAAGGACCATAACTAGAAGCTTAACCCTGCCTGCTGGGTTCCACTGGCAGGATTATTAACTAAAGTTATTAAATTAAAACATGAATTGTAGTTGTATTCCATTTTGAATCTATTATCATAAATTTTGTCATCATGAAGACATGAGTCATGAAGTATGACTTTCTTCAGTGGTCAGTGGCCTGGCTCTAGTTTGCAGGGAGTACTACTAGGCTTACTTGCTCTCAAATGGTTGGACTTCAGTTGGAATCAGTTGAAGATGTCTCTTAAACACAGTAACAAACACCAGGACTGCCTGAAACCATTGCATGATTTCTAACTACGCTTGTACAAATTAGTGTCAAGTCAAAGCACTTGTACTGCTGTACTTTCATATTTTTTTAATAAATAAATGACTACTGAGAAACTGCATGCTTACAATGTTTTAGTGGTTTTACATAGTAGTTCAGCCTAGATATATATCCATAGTATTAGAGTATGGTATACAGTATTTTTCTAAATGTTAACAAAGGTATATTATAATAAAATAAAGAATAAAAAAGCTAAAAATTAGGCAGTGATTGGTTGTTGGTTCAATCCCGGCTCCTCCCGCCACATGTCAAAGTATCCTTGAGCAAGATACTGAAACCCGAATTGCTCATTTGATGGCCTTTGCATTACTGAGTGAATGTGAATGTAAAGGATGAATGTAATGTAAAAGCGCTTTGAGTGGTCTTAGTAGACTAGAAAGGGACTATACAAGTACAGGTCCATTTACCATTTACATCAAACATTCTCATCTTACCAGGATCTACAGTTGAGAGAGTAGGACTCTCCTGGTGTGTATACTTTGTTGTTGTGCAGACATGGACACTGATCCACTGCAATACAGCCACTTTTATTGATGTCATCAAAGACCGTTCCTGGAGAGGGGAGATAAGAGAATAGTCATCACTGTCATGTTTTATGTATGTGCGCGAGACCTGACTGAGATGGTGACTGCGGTGCACATTGGGTACCTGCAGGGCAGCTGCAGCTGTCGTAACAGTGGTTGTCACATGTCTTGCTGGCCTGAGGGGTGGAGCAGCTGTCAGGACATGAACTGCTACACTCAAAGAACTCCATGTTGTAGGGACACTCTTTATCTGTGGAGACAAACACTTTAATGTCAGAAACAGTTCTGCAAAACGTGAGGCAAACGACACTACAGCTGCTGGCTTTAATTCAAGGCCAGATCATTCAGATGAACTATATAGCATCCTTACAGCAAAAAGTTGTATTCCTCCATTGCTGGGGCTGGCCTCCTGCATGGACACACTGTCTGGAGAACTCTGAGATGGTTTTGCAGAGGATGGAGTCAGTGCTGTTTTTGGTGTTGCACATGTCAACCATACAGGCTTTACTGAAGGATTCGTCATCCAGCCGGTTTTGGCAACTGCTGAATGGATCACTGGAGAAGATCTGGTCACAGAAATCCTGAAACAAACAAACAGAACAGAACAAAACAAAACCAATCAATCAAGTATAAAAAAATCCAGTTTGGTTTCCTAACTGTCTTTGCTTGTTGCTTGCTGCCTATTTATAGCTGTAAAAATAGTATTTTTACTTTATTTGAGTCTTTTCTTTTCATGAACTTTTTGACTTCTACTCCACTACACTACATTTTTCTGACAACTGTAGTTGTTACTTTATAAATAAAAAAACATTTTTGCATAGAAAACACATAATGACATTATAAGGTAGGATATTTTGTCATAAATTAAACTACCCAACAGTATATATACAAGTACAGCTGAAACATTAAGTCAATTACTCAATTGGTTGATTGACAGAAAATTAATCAGCAATGATTTTGGTCACACAAAACAAGCATTGTGAAGGCTGGCAAATTGTGACAATATCTCTCTCTCACTATTAATGGAAAAAAATAATTAGCAGATTAATCCATAATGAAAATAATCATTAGTTGCAGTCCTATATGAAGATAGAAAATGTGGTGAAGTAGATTTTATTAAACATGAGTATTTAACTTGCTACATGTGTGAGTTTAAACACTTACTCCAAATAAGTAATATGTATGTTTAAATGTGTTTAGATACATAATGAACAGCCAGGTTAAAGCTGCAGTAAATAACTTTTATAAAAATAACTTTTTGTCATATTTGCTTAAACATTCACTATAAAGGGACCCTGGGAATGAGACTTGACAATCAAGTAGCTTTCTCGGCTCTGATTGGTTGTTTTGATAAAGAGTGAAGAGTTACCTTATTGCCGCAGCTTAAGACCGGGTTGAGCTCAGGCTCCTCACAGCTCTCTGTCGGCCCGTTCACCTTGTACATTTCACCATAGTTTTCCACAGACAGCGGGGCTCCTACAGTGCAACCAATCACACAACAGTGGCAATGACCATTCAGCCCAGTATCTTGCAATGCATCCTTTTTGGAGAAATTTTACAATAAATCGCAGGAATGTTCGACAATTTCACATCAATGGTGAAACATTCTGAAGGTTTTTAGTTAAAAATTAGCTTTCCGAAAAATTCTTGCAATAGTCAGTACCTCCAGGTACTTGAACCTTGTCTTGGTATTTGTGCCCTATAGGCAGTTTTTCTACCAGTGTAAATCAATGGGTAAGTCTAAGCTATTAGGCCTGGCCAAGTATAATAAAGGTTAAACATACAGTATATTTCTTTAGTAGCATAAGGTTGTAAACCCTCTCCAATAATGCAGGGGTTGCTAACTTGTGAAAATTGTGAACTAGTTACAAGTTCAGACAGTTGCAATATCAAGCTGTTCTACAGTCACTAATGAGGAAAATTTTAACATGCAGCATTAGATTCTCAGGTGGGGGCCTTCTGGCTGTTCCAAAGTCAAGCCTTAAATCTAAAGGAGGCCCCCTCGGATGTCACTTTCTAAAACCCATTCTTATACACTTGCATTCATCTGCTGTTGTGTTTTTGTTTATTTTGTTTATTTTATTGTATTGCGTTTACTCTTATTTTTGTATTTATTTATTTTATTGTATTTTTATTTAATAAATTACATTATGTTTTTTAATAAACAGTAACAGGGTCCAATGTACAATGTCAGTATATATACAATATCAAAAGAAAATAATATACATATACAGCACAAAGTGCCTTACATGGCCAGAAGCAAGATTTCAAATATATTAGAATATTTCAGGTGACAATGAGGCAAAATGAAATCAGTCAATTGAAATCATAAAGGAGAAAAGAAAAAAAGAAAAAGACCCTCATCAGTAAATAATAATAATAATAATAATAATAATAATAATAATAATAATAACAACAATAATAATAATAATAACAATAACAATAATAATAATAATAAAGTAATATAAACAATGAAACAAATAAAACATATTGCAAATGAATTGCACTGGGGCAATCAATAAATAAAAATTATACAAAATTAAAAGAAATAATAAAAAAAAATAAAATAATGATAGATGAAACATGGTGGAAATGAAACAGTGATATATATATATACATAAAAGGCTTATGTTTTGAGATTTAAAATCATCATAACGCTGAAAAGGACCTTACCCTCACTCGTTAAATCATTGGCTATGCCGTCAAAATCTCCACAGAGTCCACATGTCTGGCCCTGGTATTTGATATCGAGTTCAATCTGTGAAAACACCCCAAACATACAGTAGTTATCAGCAAAATCACAACACAGTAATTTTTATAAAAGCATTTTTGTCAATGTTGTTTTTATAAAAGTTACCCAATGCAGCTTTAATAAAGCAGCTTTTTAAGATTTCGACACATTTTTGTCATTCTTTTTATGTAATCCATTAAAGTAGTTTACACTCAAGTTCACATCACAGTTTCTGGACTCTTTCTAAGATGATCAGAATTTTCTGATCTAAACAAAGGCTCATTAGCCACAAGGAGTTGGAAAGCGGGTTTTAACAGACGTGGGGAACGTGCAGTGTTTGATTTGAGTTGTTATCATGGGAGAGCCAAGCCTTTTTTTCTACGTGGTGCATCAAATCAAATATATCAAATATACTGTGACTACTGCCTGTTGCCATCCTTCCCAGTGTATCATTAGCTATATAAAACATGGCTTCCACCCATCCTTAGCAAATATCATTCTGTTGACATGTTTTTCTAATATTCAAATTACATCAATCTCTAGTGAGGAAATCCATGAATCACATTCATCTTCATGAAGTAATGCACTCAGCCACATGTTTACTTAAAGCACTACATTTGCATTGTGGTTTTCAGGCTTGGCAGATTCACATTGCTTGCTTATCTCTCCAGGACATATCCCACAAAGTCACCCAGTGACACACTGCTGCTGTGTACTGAGCCTTGATGAATATTTGTCAGACTTCTTTACCTGTTCCCTCAGCCATGAAGGTTATTGTTTTTAGCCCAGTTTGTCTTCCTCAAAAAAGATCTCAGTGAGATTTGAAGTTAGGCTGGAGGCCAAGGAAGAACAGATAGTGCCATCGCCATAAAGTAGTTCATGTTCACTGTAGACTGTGTAGAAACATTCCTTTGAAGGCTGGATGTCCAGCTTATTTGACAAAAATTGCCATCGTTTTTGAGAAGAGTCAATTCAATCCATCACACAGACAGTGTGCTGGTAGCTACAGAAGGTTCTAAATCAATGGCAGAAAGCAAATGTAACACCTACATCTTTTAGAACAGATGACCGCCTCCATACGACGATGGAGAAAATGGTTTGTTTATTTAATAAATATCTTTTTTTTTTCTAAATTAGCAAATTTGCCTTGATTTACTGACCATCCCATGACCTTGTTTGCTTTTTTGTTGTCTGTTACTTATTTGCTTTTCACTTAATGGTCCTTATGATGTGAACAATCTTTCAGGTTAGTAGTTTAATGAGCTGATAGCACTGGCTGTTTTCACCACACTTATCAAATACGTCACCCAAGTGCAACACTATGGCTCTTGTTTATGGTTTTAATAGCTTCTGGACAACAATGGAGTTCTGTAGAGGGAGGGTTAAGCTCTATCAGAGTGTGGCAACACACACAATACTTGTTGGATAGATAAGGTCGTTGTTTGTTTTGGTCTTTTCATGGCATTTGTCAATAATATTAATAAAATGATAAGATAACGTCAGCCTTACCCTTCAAACAATTAAAACAGCTAAAGACTCAGTGCGTTCCTTTGTATGCATGTAGATTCATAAGAAGCAGACTCATTGTAGTCGACTGCAGTGGAGTCGACTCACAATGTTTGTCAAACCCTATGAAAATACATCTGAAGTGCATATGTGTGTGTGCATATGTGAGGGTGTGCTTCATACATCCAGAGAGTCATCCAGGTTCCAGATAGCTTTAATGCCCAGCTTAGCATCCACCATGATGCTAGATGTGGTTCCCTTGATAGTCACCCCGAATATGACAAATGGCAGAGACACCCTGTGGTAAACACAGAAAGAGATAGTGTGCAAATGAGACAAGAAAGCTCACTCTAAAAAAAAATGTTTGTTTAAAAAAAAAGTGGTTTGTCTTTTTGAGTTATGGCAACTTCAAATGGAATTATGTTCAACAAATGTACTACATTGAGTTAGGTAAATTAGCTTTTCCTCTACAATCAAAGGTATTTTTATATTTATATTTTTTCCAACTAGTTTTTCTATATTATTTATGTCAACACAACTCAATAATGTTTGCAACTTAAAAGGTTATCTTAATCAACAAAGTAGAATTTTTATTTTGCAACCATGTATTTATTTAAATGATGACAACAGGTCCACTTAGAGTGCAGAAGCCAGCACAGGATGATTCCAGTGAGAGACAAAGTAATGTCTTCTATGGATGAAAGAATTTGTACAATGACAGACAGAAAATCACTGTTTGTGTGGAATTTAGCTTCACCTGTAAAATGGGAAGAGGGCTGCTGAGGGAAGTGGCTAAATGCTGCAATAATATTACACAATCTCCAGCCTTCCCAGAGTGATACAGGAGGTCAGACATGAGATCTAGATAACTTTGTCCTATTGCCATTTGATGTTGCAGGAACAGTTCATTTATCAAAAATCTAGCAATTACCTCAGGTTGTATCAGTAAATGTATTAGCCAAAAACTAAGCTAAAATAGCTGGTTTTAATGACATCAGCACTATGAGTGGCTCCAAAGAAATGACAAATCATTTGATACAATGTTTATATCAGATCAATAATCATAGAGCGTCTGAGTGGTCTAAAGCAGTTTGTTTACAGTGAGACTTTGTTGCTTACAGTATGATGACTTCTGATTCTCTAGACTGTAACTCTGCTTTTCTACCATCCACACAGTCTTTGTTTGCACTTATCACAGCGTTAAAATCAACTTGCAGCTTGACGCTTGTTTGAGCAGCTAATCTGCAATACCATCTGCCATTGTGTTTTTTTTATGCTACTGGCAGGCACTGAATTGTAAATTTTCAAATCTTGTGAATGATAGCAAATATTTAGACATCCCACTGATATTTCGCAGTGGTGGAAAGTAACTAAGTATATTTACTCAAGTACTGTACTTAAGTACAAATGACTTCTACCCCTCTATACTTCATTTGCAGCACTGCAGAAAGACCTCCTAACATCTAAAACAGTCTCACACTGTACAGAATATGCAAGGTATAGTGTCTCAGGGCTACGTGTAGTTGACTGAAGTGAACTTACGTCTTGCCATTGACAATCACTGAGCTTTTGGAGAGCTCCACCACAGAACCTTCCAGCTTCATGATGATGTTGCTGATGGTGGCGGTATTGTTGACTGTGGTGCGCCTCATCTGAATGTTGAAATTTTCATAGCTGCTCTTGCACTGCGAGGTCACCATATGGTTACAGGTGGAGGGCATCTGGAAGAAATTTCCATCGAGGGTCTTCCAGTGATAGTTTCCCCAAGTCGTGCACACTCGGCCGAGGTGAGATGCGTTAGCTACAACAACAGTGACACATTAAAACATCTTTTCTGACTAATGTAGACAGTTGAGTTGAGAAAATCTGCTTTGGGCATTAGCACGGTTACCTGAATTCACACTCAGTGTGTTTAGAGATGGAGCGATGGTTACTGTAAGAGAAGAAATAATCAGTTTTTAGCCTTAAAAAAAAACAACTCACACACTATGACCTGTATCCAGAAAGATCCAATGGTATACAAGTTTATGGATCTGTATCCAGATCTGTATATTATATAATAATCATATCATATCATATCATATCATATCATGTAAAAATAAAATCTGTCAGAGATCTAGTTTGTAATCTTTTACATACAGTATCTGTCTCTATACAAACATATCACCACCTTGGATAGTGCCATATTTTTGTGCATTTATTCTAGTGTCTTTCTCAGATATTATGTACATAGACGGAGCCAGGGGGTGGCCAGGGGTGACCATAGCTACCAAAGGCTAATCTCTCCCACACGGCACCATATTTCAGGTATTTTTTGTGTTTTGCTGAACCAGTTCTCTACTGCCACAGGGGACGCTTTTTGGAGCGCACCCATCTTGTTGGAATCCACCCCTACCCGACCCAATCTGCTTTCAATTCACTGAGCACAGTTTTGTTGAGTTTTGTTGCGCATAGAAGTAAAAGGGAATCAAATTTCTGACTTCTTCACAGTGATGCTAAGAACAGAAACAGACCAATCAAATTCCAAACAAGCTGCAAAAATAGTGAAAGTTGGAGATGAGAAATATATAACATGTTTGCCTGCACATCAGGAGACTATCAGCAGCTTATTTTAGATACACACATTTTGTTTATAAGCAAACATCATAAACTAACCTCTACAGAGCCATGCCACACAGAAAAAATTAACAAGATGTTAATTTCTGTGCCACTCCAAAGTGAGCACTGGCCTCAGCCAGGCTCCACCACTGATTCTGTATTACTAAGAATTTTGAAGTCAAAATAAGTAACTTTATAAAACAATATCTTTGGAGTTCCTTATGATACAAAACGAAATGAAAATCTAAAGGAAATGTTATCAAGACAAAATAAAACAAAATTCAAATTAGTTTAGCATGTTCCAATGTTCCATCATACACCAAAATGAAGCTCTGTTAAAACATCTAGTTGTCCACCCTATGACCTTTTTCCAGTCATATTGTATCCAGTGAGTGTGCAGATGTAATCAGTTTTCAGGTCAGCACTCACCGGTCTGAGTGAGTGAGCCGACCAGCAGTGTCAGGTAGCAGAGCCATAACGTGGATTGGAGTCCTGCGGTCCCCATGTTGGTCCTGAGGACTGAGCCACTATGAGAAGACTAACCTGTGGGATGAGTCCCTTTATAAGCTGTCAGACAGGGTGGAGCTACACCAGTTCCTTCAGGTGAGAGAGAGAGAGAGAGAGAGAGCCTTCACTCTAAATATCTCCATTGTGGTTGGCCTGTGACATTTATATGTTAAATAAATAATAGACACTGGGCTCAAGTTTTCTTAATTTTATTTGCTCAGCAAACATGTCACCTCCATCACTGCACTGAGCAGCTTGTTGACCCTACAGTCCTCTGATGAACTACAGAGCTGACAGGAGCAAGGTTATTATAGTGAAACAAGTAGTAACTGAGATAAAAGTTAAATTAAAACTAAAGCCTTGGACATACTACAAGACTTTCAAAGTTGTGAGATCTCTGTACAGTTCACACTACGCAACTTTCAGTCTTGTAATCGGGAGTATTAAAGTTGTTGTTGTTTTTGCAGTACATGACTGATGAGCAGCGGTGGGGTCACACAACCAGTCTGACTGCTCGCCAAACTAGGTTTCATCAGGAGTCATTAATAACACCATTAATAACAAGCACATCATGTTCAATTAGGAAAGTAGCAGTAGTTAACAGGCACAAAGGGGAACAATTTACAGCATACTGCTGTCAATACACACATTATTAAAGCATTAATCAAACTAATAACTATCAGCAGTCAACGTCAGACAACATTATCATAATTTTACAGTTACCTTGCGTTTGAGTAGTAGTGACAAAACATTAAAAATCACACACAGCATGAGTCAGCTTGAATTCCACTAAAAGCTCCCTGCACCAAACTCCCTTTAAGAAATATAAAATTTTAACATTTTCCTAATGTGTCCGTAAAAATATGTCACTCTAGAAACACAAGTTAAAGGCCATTATTTAATTACTGTAAGTGGTAAATGGACTGTACTTAACCAAACTACCAAACTAACTACCAGCTCGCTACCCGTGTCTGCTCTGACTGACTGTAGCTCATTGCAGGGCTCCCCCAGTCGCCTCAGCTATTTAGCAGGGAGGCATCTGCAAGCTCTTATCAAGCCTCTCACACAATGTGAGCCTCCTCACAGGAGTGTGTACTGATTTGCCTCCGATCTGAGGGAATGGAAAATCTAAATTTTTGTAGTGTGAACTCGGCATGTCCAATACCGCTTTATTATAATAAATAAAACTAAAACTAATACTAAAACTATCAAATCCTAAATTGAAATGAGCAGATTCTGGAACTGAAACTAAACTGAACTGAAAACAAAAATTTACAAAGTAAATAAAAAAAAAACCTAATGAAAAATACAAAACTATTATAACTCTAGACAGGAAGTTTCGTTCTTTTAGAATCAATACAACAATCTCTGACCGCAGGCTCTTTGAAATGGGTGTTAGTATGTTGGAACAACACAGGATAAGGCAGGAAATTATTTCGACGTGGCATGACAGGTTAAATAGCTTATAAGTACAGTCACAGGCAACTTAAAGGTTAACAAAATGATCCTGATTTACTTTCAATATCATAAAGTCAACACTCACTTAAAACATATATTTTGCATCCTTAACCTTTACCTGACTGCTAGTAGCTTAAACTGAATAGCACCTGGGATCAGGGGTGAATCTAGAGGGGTGGCATACCTGGCCACCCCAGTTTGATGTCAAATGGTGACAAATTTAACACGTGCTAAAAAACAGAAATGATTACATAATATAATCAGTGCCTGAAATGGGCCAGTACCCACATGTTCTAAGTACCAGCACTTCTGATTTTTGTCCAAGAGTACCCTTACTTCTTGTCTTGAGTACTACCACCTCTGGTGAGGATGGCCGTATAGTTTCCAGTTGTTTAAATAATTGCCTTTGATGCATACATTCTTTTTTGTAGGCCTACCTGCTTTATGTCAGCACATATGATATTTAAAAAAATCTGTTAATAGCACACATACATCAATGATTCAGGATGATAAAGATACAGAGAACTAGAAATACATGGCAAAAATATCATATTGTCAATATTTTAGAGAGCCCTCAAAATTTCACAAATCATGTTTTAATGGGGGCTCATGTCTCATTTGTCAGTAATCTTCATGTGGCAGCACCAGTGCACACAAAGTTGTGATGCATTTTTGGTGAAACAGCTTATTCAGGGTCAGGATTAACTCCCTTTAGGGAACTTTACCACATTGTATCCACTGGAAAGGCACCCTAGAGCAGTGGTTCCCAACCCACTAGGGGTCGCCAGAGCTTCACTGGGGGTTGTGAGGCCTTCTTGATTTTTAAGGGGTAAGCAAACTTAAAAATCTACACAGTAGGCCTGTATTGCCGCATGAAGAAAACGAAATGAAATTGTTATTTTTAAAGTTCAGATTATTATTCAAGATATAAACTTTGAATGCCTTGTCCTGCATTAGAAAAGTGTGCAGTTAAAACAACCAAAGAGCTAATAGAGCAATGGCTACGTATCAGGGAAAAGAAAATGCTGAATTTGTGTGTATGTACGTATAGTCACATATATTCACATGAAATAATCTTCTTAAACTTCATCCAAATTGCTCGTTTTACACAAACTTCCTGCAGTTATTGTGTTCACTGTTTGGGTTCACTGTACAGTTGTTCTCTACTGTTATTGTTATAAATTGAATATAATATGAAATATACATAAAATAAGTCACTTTGATTCATTTTGATAGAGGCTCCCTTAAGGAAAAAGGTTGGGAACCACTGACTTACAGGGCACTTTATTATGTTATATTTACCATAGGGGCATCCAAAAGGGTACTTCTGCTGCATTCTTCTAAACATGGGGTCACCGGGGGTGCAATGGGTAACAATAACACTAAAAATCTAAATGAACCTGATAGAGCAATCAACTCACTCCTAGGTCCAGTGAGTAGGGTTTTGTGGCATCTAGCGGTGTAGTTAAAGATTCCATTGCTTCACCCTCCTCTTCCAGGCACGAAGAACCAGTGTTTTGTTTGTCCATTCTGGGCTACTGTAGAAACATGGACTCCATGGAAGGCAATCTGTAGATATAAAAAGCTCATTTTAAGGTGATAGAAACACAATAATTTCTATCTTATGAAAACATAACTATGAATATTATATTTAATTCCTGCCAATAGATCCTCCTAAATGTTACACACCAGACCTTTAAACAAATATGTAATAAAAATAAAAAAGAAATTAATGAATACTAAATTAATCATCATCACCACTGTTATGATCCTTGTTGTCATCATATGTCACAACTCAGGAAACACAGGATTGGTCCCGAATGGAAGACAGGATGACTTCAGTGATGTAATATTGATGCAGCTTACAAGCAGGTACAGGCAGGTAGACAGGGAAGAGACAGGTAGGCAGATTCAGGTCCAGACAAAGCAAAATCAAAAAACCAAAAGGCCACACAGGGACTGTGAGAGGGAGGAAGCAATGGGTTCTTTTGTAAATGTAGGCCCTCCTAGCCTTAGTACTAGGAACTCTAGCCTGAATGTTATGTTATGTTATGTTATGCTATTGCACAGTTGGCCTGTAGTGCAGCCTTCCATGAAAATCTTTCATAGTTTTTGCAGCCACCATAGTTTCTCTTTTACTCTTGGAAGGGGAGGTTGAAGCAAGGGAGTTGTGACCTGCAACTATACCACTAGATACAGCTAAATCCTGTACAGTGGACCTTTAATAGTCTATTCATCTCATGTACAAATGTGCTGTGTTTAGATTTTATCTTGTGTTAATGTTGTGTGTGTATGTATGAGATTATGTACAGTCTGTGGCAACAAATGTCCTGGAAAGGACAATAAAGAATATATCTATCTCCTGCTATTAGATAAACAGTTTTGACCAGGGAGTATTTAAAGATATTGTTTCAGTCACTAGGTCTGGGTCCTTTGTGTCAGTACAATTTCATTTGTGTATTTTCTTGTGGTGTTATATATTAAAAATTTAAAACCTGGAAAGAAAAAAAAAAGACAGCCCTGGACCTGATGTTGTTGGTGGTCTGAGCCTCTCAGAGCTGCTGGCTCATAGTGATGGCAAAGGGAAGCTTGCTGAAGCATTAAGGCTTCCTGACACACTGATTTCAAAAACAAGTTTATTACTTCAATTATAATTTTTTTTCTTTGGGCCCTCTGCAGTCTACTCAGTGGTTAGACTGAACAGGTTTGAACTTTGATTCATCAGTCTTTGGACTATGTTCAACTCATTTTCAATAGTGCTAACCCTAAATAAACCTTTTTAGCAAAGTTTTAAGAATAGCTTTACTAAAGCAGCACACTTGTTTATTACTGCTTGTTGGAGGCATTATTATGCAGTTGACACTGAAACAGGAACCTGTTTCTGTTTAAATGTGCACTGACTTTGATGCAAAGCTTTGCAAAACAGCTAAACAGGACTTTCTGCAACCTAAAAGCATGAAATACTATTCAAAATGATAGTCCTCTTAGCCATCTAACTGTACAGAATCAAGCTTTTGTGGCAGGCTTTTCCAAATAAATTAAAAAAACCCAACTCAGCAGTGTACGTGTTTGTGCATTTCTGTATTTTTGTGTATTATGTTTAGAAGAATATGGTGAGTAGAGTTAAAATGATTTGACAAGACTGTGCAGGCACTTTATGGACATGTGTAATAGTCAAATTATCATTCAAATCTAGGTTTATATAACTGTGCTTGTGAAACCACTAAATATAAATATCTTCAGCTCTCCCACTAATATAACCCACACATTGTGTGTATCACTTAAAGAGTCCAGTGTGTAACCTTTAGTATGCTCTATCGGCAGAAATGGAATATAATATTTATAGGTATGTTTTCAATGGTGTATAATAACCTAAAATTAAGAGTTGATGTGGTTTTGTTACCTTAGAATTAACCGTTTTTAGCTACAGATACTGCAGGTTGCCTTCCGTTGAATCTGCCATGTTGTCTCATCCTACAACAGAACAACCAAACACTGACTCTAGATAGTGTCTTTGGCGAGTTTCGTGGCCACCGTACA